TAAACACGCTTATTTAACTTCAAATGTAGTTCTCTCCTGGAAAAAGTTAGCTATTGTGACAGTGATTGAAGCAATGTAAGTTTCCAGATATTCTTTGTAGTCAACTTGAAAAATCTAAACAAAGCTTCTATGGAAGTAATACTATCAGCATTCAGAGTTTAAACATTATGGCAGCAAGCAAATTCAAGTTCAAATGCATGTAAGAGTTACCAAACTTCCCAAAACCCACAATTTGTCTATTTATTATCTGCACTTAAATTTACATTAAATGGGTAAGATCCATTTTTGTGTTTTGATTTATGATGAAAAGAAAGGTTTTTCTTTCAGAAGAAAATTAAGTATTAGAGTGGTTCCCTTTGTACATATCTTTTCCCTTAACACTGGATTGTCTTTTGTTCCCTTGCATTTCTAAACTAGAAAAACTGCATAAGAACTCTATCTCTGAACACGTGTTGATGCCCTGAAGAATTTTGGTGAGCCTGAAACAGGGTCCCACATTTTGTTTTCCAATGCTTTTTTTACTTCGTAAGTAAAAGTTACCTTGTCAAGGGCACTCATAAAGTGTTGATCACCATTCAAAACAGTGTTGATGAGTTGAACAAATTTACTATGTACTTCCAAAACTGACTCCACAAACTGAGTTGGCATCTAAAAAAGGTAGATAAAACAGAAAGCAAGTTATTGAGAAAAGTAGGATTATCTATACACAAACATATTTACATTAGTTGTACATTTTTTCCTAATTATTCTTCTTGATAAAAGTTAAAATCATAGTGATTAAGTCTTTGAGAGGATTGATTCTGCCTTGTTATACTCTTATACTACTGTGCTTGAGCATGTTTTGGAAATAAAAAGTCTATGGCTACATTATTTACAGTCCTGCTATCAAACATAGATTTGAGTCTATATTCCTCTCATGCTGTCTAATCTTTTCCATCACGCCCTAAAATCCTTTATTAGCCCTTTCAAAAATCATTAATGCTAACATGTAAATACGGCAATCGAGCCAAAAAGCTACAGAAATACGTAAACTGCTGCTTCTCCTACACACTGACTTCAGAGACAGAAAATCCGGATGAACCCTTTGAATTTTCCTATGTAGGACAGTTACCAATCAAATTTAGTGTGCCACATTTCAGCATAACGTTATAGGAATGACTAATATGAATTAGAGAAGTTCCTATGCAGACAAGCTGGCAGGCAGAAATGCAAGAGTGTGCAATGCACTGGCTGCATCACATGGCTCCCGAAGTGCATTCTCAGGTCACACATTAAAAATGTTTTGATGACAAAGTACTTAATCTACACAGTGGAGCAAGTATTTCACATTTTGAGTTAATCTACATAAGGCTGTGAATTTTCACCACCTTCATGGCTCTGCATTCATTTCCCTGTGTAGACACTATTAGTTTGAAAGAATAAGCTCAATAAGCTTACAAATTATTTGAAAGCAAACTATACTACTAAAGACTTCAGCCCATACGAAAGAGTAAGCACTCCTGGGCAGTCAATAAAAGAGTGAATTTACAACAATTTGTATCTATGTATTATTATAGACAGAAATACTGCATGGCTAAAGTCACCACCCTAAAGTGAGCACAGATCTAGACAGCAAGATGTATACATGTACAAATATAATGCCAAATGAAAGCTTGTTTGTTTGTTTGTTTCTGAAAAGCAATGCTAGAGGAACAAAAATGGAATTAAGTAATTTAAATACATATGAACTGAAAAAAGTTTAACACACTTCAGTAAAATAATTAAGCCACAGTATTTTCAGAAATTACATGAAAATATGAGACTACAAAGCTGTTAGTGCAAACACCACACTGAAATCAGGACAGGATGTCAAGTCTTTACAAATAACATATAATTAAACTAAATGGAATCATTGGTTCCTAACGTACCAGAACAGCAAATGCCACTGACTTAGAGAAATTCAGGAAAAAAATACATACATGGAACAAAAGGACCTACTTGCCATGACAGCATTAAACAAACAACAATGAGAAATATCTAGCTGTAGTTGTTTCTGGTTAGATCACAACAATCAACTCTCAGGATAGGTATGTGTTGCACAGCTAAGAGTGCTGATTAGAAGTTACAATTTATCCATAATGTTCCAAACCAATTTCATATAGACAAAATTAAAAAAAACAGAATAGACTAAAAAGAAAAGGGTAAACATTTCATCAGGAATGTTAATCAAATAGGTAATTTCAGCTGCCTGAGGAAACTCACATTTTCCTGAGAAAGATTGCTGGTTGCTCTAAGGCCCTCATCATGGATATGGTTTTGTAGTTCCTGAATCATATGAGGTAAACCACTTGACACAGCACGAAGTAGAGTATACATATTTGCCATGTCTGTAACAGAGATACATTTTTATAGAATATGCTTAGAAACACTAGAAATCAACACTTAATATAGTATCATAATTTCACACAGAATTTTTCAAAGACTGAAACAAGACCAACTGTTTTGAAAAAAAAAATTAACATACATTGGATCACTGACAAAAGAAAAAAAGGAAAGTGTAGGGCTAATATCAGTATTTACTGAGTACTGCCATTGTGACTACCTCACTCTTCCAATACTACTTATTTAGGAGAGACTCCAAAAGGACAGGTGGGCTAATATGGAAAAGTATTGTGCCAGTTTATTTAATCCTTGGCCTCCCTAAATCTCCCTTAGCAGCAGCTGACTAAAATCAGTTTAGGTATCTTCTTGACGTTTTGTTTTCCTTCAGTGGTGGCTTGAAATTTTTCTCATATTAGAAAAGCTGTAAATAAGCAACCGCTATTTTTATGATTTTTGGGGAGGGGAAGGATCCAAGCTCTGATCAAATTTGCAAAACACTCTGGAAACTGAACACTATTATTAGATACAATTTGAGTTTGACTGTGAAAAATAATTTGTTTCACATAATAGATACCATCTTCCATGCAAGAATAAGCATTCTTTCAAGGGTAAGAGGCATGTAGTCATCAGAAGCATAATTTTTTTAGTCAGGCAGGGAATATAACTAGAGCATCTGCTTCTGTAAAAAGGATTTGGGAAGAGAGGTCACAAAAGATTCAGGACAATAAAAAGTGGCTATGAAAAGAAGCCAAAGTATTTTATAATCCTGACCTGTCAAATGATGATGAAGAAATCTGTAAAGACAGAGCCATTGGTTTACAAATGAAAACACAAGCATAAAATATGATCAATTTTACAGGACACAGGACTTCAATATGTTTTTAAGCCGACTAAGACAAGGAAAGAGAAAGAGTATTGGCCGAAAGAAGGGTTGTTAACAGTAAAAAGAAGGTTTTGACTATATATTTGGAAAAATGAAAATGAATTACATGGTAAAAGAAAAACATCATTCAGGGTTTAATTGGGCTTTCTAGATAAGTAACATATATTAGTTGAAAATGCTTAAGCGCATAGAAGGTCACTGAATAAAGATAGTAAATTGCAATGCTAAATGAATAAAACAAAACCCATTTCACGCTTTTTGCGACCACTGAGACTTACCACTTCTTTTCTCTTGTCTGATAATATTGTGACATTCTGCATGTAGAAACTGCAAGTGATCAGCTACCATTCTCTGTTGGCATTCATGAATCACTTTGCCATATGAGCTGGGATGCAAGTATTTCCGACACCGTATTTCTTCATCTTTTAATCTACCTAAAACCTACAGACAAGTTTTTAAACTGAGAGCTGATGAAATACTAACAACCAATATAGAACCATGAATATAGAACGGTATGTGTATGTGGAATGAGACACACAAATAAGTTACAAAGTTAAAAAAGAACTTGTCCAGGATGCTGAAAAATTAAATTTGCTCTTTTGAATCAGGCTGTTGCTGAATTAATATAGCCTTCTACTCTGAGTACTTACTAGGCTCAGTCACTACTAGATGTCTAATAGCACTCAGTAGTTCTCTTCTCTAAATTTCTTCTTCCCTTCAACTTTGTGACCAGTCTTCCCCAATTTCTCCTACCACACTTCTTATTCCTTCTGAGAAAGTTTTACCACAATACCTAATTATATGACTATAAGAATCATTTTACTGTTCCAAACCCATCTGCTTATACGTAAACATCTGCTCAAAAGGTATAGGAGTACATCTGAGCTGTTAATAAAAATGAGCTGTTAATCTCTTTATAACTTCAATGAAGGAAATAGGCATTATCATAAAATAAGTCATATGAATACTGACATAAAAGTACTTATACCCAGTAAATATGAGGGGAGCCTAGGGAGAGTAGTGCAGCTGCAGACTGCTAATGATAGACAAAATTAATCTGCATTTCTTTTGGTTTAATTGAAGTCTTAGCCTGTCCCTGAATTTCACCTCAGGTGTGCAACCATTAGCTTATGCTCCTTATGGTTAAAAGCAACCTCACAGCCTTCTCCTCAACTCTTCTATCTTGTTAGTGTGGACAGTATAGCACCGAGGACTGACTCCTAGTCTTGTATTAATCTTTGCTTTCTCAAGCAAAATATAAGAATTACAAGTAATTTAATCACAACCTGACTTCATACACCACAAAGCAAACTAAAGAAAATCCAGCTGGGAGTAATTTTTAACAATGGTCTGTAACAACTCTACCATATAGTCTTCTCTAACCATTGTATTGCTAAAACTCTCATCTTATGCTACTACAAACAGAAGGTAAATAAGGATCAACCTGATAGGTGTTTTGGTTTTTGTCTTTTATTTTTTAATTTTTTTTTTTTTTTTTTTTACTTTTCATGCAATTGATTTATCATTTATTATGAAATATTTTGAAGCTGACAGTCCATCCATAGGCAAGGTTTGTAGTTTATATTCAGATTAACCATGCCACCAAAAAGCATAGTTTAAACTGCATGAAAGCATACAACAAAGAACAACTATAGGAACTGTACAGGAAAACATGTATCATCGGTAAATTTATAATTTTAGATTTTAGTTATTGCATGTGTACAGAAGAATCTCTTACCTTCTCCATGTATTGTGAGCAATTTGACTCTTGCAATAAATTTGAAGCTTCTTGTTTATAATACTCCCCTGTTTCATTCAGAAAAGGACACTCAAAAATTTCCTGATAAAACTAAAAGGGAGAATTTTTTGTTTAAAGGACAAATAATGCATACACTAGATTAACATTCAAAATTAAAACCATAAATCAGAAATGTGTATCTACCTTTAGGGGGAATTTTTTCTTATACTGTTCAACATGAACAAAGGAGTTAATAACCCCATGGATTACTTTCTGGTTTGGGTCTTCTCCACAGCGATCACTGGAATAAGCAAAGCAAACATTCATGAGAATCTAGGTATCTAGTGTAACTCATCTGATAGCCGAATGAAATAAAATTGGATGAAAATATTTTCCAGTAAATTCCTCTGCTTAAATTGGAAAAATTGAAGAAGATTAATCTTAAAATAAAGGACTCTTCTTTCTCTCCTATACATTTAAATTGTTGAGACAGCAATTCATAAACTATTCAAAAGCATTTGCAGGTCATGAAATTTCCAACTGTTTACTAAGGATATCAGTATTCCAAATCACATACTCTAAGCAAGTATTTTAAAAGTTACAGTAAGTTCCATCTTGTATTTGTAGCCTTTATTAAACAGACTACCTTCACACTGCTGCCCCTGCCAAAAAAAAAAAAAAATTTTTGCCAGCATCACACCAAGAAGCATGCTATTTTCTTTTCTGAATATCTACTATTCAACATGTACATGCCACGTGGAACAAGTAACATACTTGGCGCATCGTCACAATTTTTAATCAAATTTTAATTGCAAAAGGAAAATCTTACGTTTTCCAGTCAAGTTCTTTGCATCAAATGAGCGAGTTCAAGTGAAGAAAATATTATCTTTAGTCCCATTCAGTTGAAAACAAAAGTAATTAAAACAAGTGTTTTGCGTGCTAAAAACATTAGTCTTCACTCCTTTACAAAGACTGGAAATAACAGACCCACACTCAGAGCAGCAGACTTGCTTAAAACATGAATTGTTCTAAGAAAGACCACCTTTCACATACACTTTACAAAGAAGTAAAAAATATTCCTGAACTCCTAAGGTGTTAATTAGGACTAAAATAAGACTTACAAAAGTATATTTACACTTAAGCATCAGCAGTTGTAATTTCAAGAGTTTTCCTTTTTTACATACATATGTACTCATATATACATGTATATAGAACAAGAACTTTTACTTTACCCAGGCTGCACTAAAAAGACAAAATGAGTTCTCTGTTAGAAACTTATGTTGGTATAGGAGAGTCACTTACATGAGTGATTTAAAAAAAAATTAAAAGGAAAAAAAACACTAAAGCCAGCTAAAATAGTTCAAACATTAATAGTTCAAACATTCAAACCCAAACATTACCATATACCCATCTAGGCTGGGATGGAATGGGGGAGAAATAATTTTGCTAATTTCATTCATTTTGGTTTGGAATTGATAAAAACTCCAAAGGATGCCCATGAGCTAGGGAGGTTTACCAGGACAGCCACACCAGCAGTCATTGTATTACATACACCAGACCATATTCATACGTTCACAACACTGCTAATTATGTGTATTGCTTTTAAATACTATTGAGTCCTAAGATCTGAAAACTTAAGCTCATGATGGGTGGAAAGAACTAGCGCTCTAACAGATTACGAGCAATCACTGTATGTTTTATGCAGTTTGGTCACCCGTTACGAACGAGCTGATCTAACGGATAACTGCTCCAGCAGGGATGGTCCGATTTTTTTTTCCCCTGGGGGACAGGAAGGTTTCCTCTGGTTCTGGTAGCTGAACCAATGGAATAAATCTGGGTTTGGGTACATGTAATCACATCCTGTGTTCTTGCCAATGTCCCTCTGCTGGGTCTGGTTATATGACAGCAGAGGCAGCAGCATGTCACAGAAGGGACAAAGTGTAATACCAGAGCAGGGGCTGGATCCAGCTCCATCCCAGAGGGGCCCAGGAGCATGGTAAGCTGCAGGATGCATGCAGCCTGTGAACACAGCACGATGTCACAGAGTGCAGGAAGCTACATAATTAAAAGTTAAGCATATTACAAAGCAGGGCTCTGTCAAGAGACAGTCCAGTCTGCCTCTAGCACGCGGAGTTCTGGACCTGGAAAGATACTGGTGACACAAACACAAGAAGCATTACTGTAGTAACAGATGAAGACCCAGCTCCGCTCTGCTCGGTTCAGAGGCCACTTCACAGACCTTAACCCACACAGATGCTGGAGGAGAGGTGGCAGCAAAGGTCAGGCCCAGGGGATTCAAAGGTCAATGTATCATTAGGAAAAAGCTGTAAAAGTACAGGAGGCAGATGCTCCATGGAAGAGCTGCAAGGGAGGAGACAGGCTTTCGAAGTAGAGGCCAGACAGCATGAAGGCAATAGACGAAAAGGAACACAACATGGAGCCAGCCTTGCCTGCCTTTTGTGTAGCTGGTAGTACACAACAAAGAGAAGGAATTTAAATCCACTTCTGAATATGGAGGTAGTGAAGATGTAGCTGCCAATCAAATGACAAGTTCACAACAACTGCCAGGATTATGTAAGCTTTTTTTTTTAAAAACAGATGCCCACACTCCGCATTTTTTCCCCCCACACTCGCAGAATTTTTAGTAGCTTAACATAGGTTTCCTCAATGGGTCAGTATTATACATTTACAGCAAACTCGTCATGAAAGTTATTGACAGAACTGTGTTATGAACTTCACCATGAACCTATCTGAAAGGCTACATTACTTCCAAGAAAAACAGCATTTGTCACAAAATTATAATTCTTTCCAGTTTGGCAGCATCTTCAGGTTTTTATTTACACCAATGGCTCTCCGCTCTCAAGAATTTGTAACGCAAATAGCTAGTTTCAACAAAATTTGACAGAAGTTTCAAGGATGATTTTCATGAAAGTTGTAGTAGTAAGAGTATCTGCCAAACTAAAATGAGAGAAATTGGTGACACCACCAAGGTGGAAGTCTATTAAGTGTATATTCTACTTGGCAGTAGTCAGCAAGCAATATGGATGCATACAGATACACATCAGCTGCCGCACAGTTTGAAACAGGGATGTCACAAGACATCTTGGGAGGGTAGAAGGGAATGATGATGTTTGGTGGGAATCTGGACAAAAAGGTAAAGCACTAGAAACACAAGTTCCACTAATTCTGCTGCTGCTGAGTTTCTTTTTTCAAAAGAAATGGAGAAAACTACAAAACACAAGCTCAAGGAAGTTGTGCTGTTTTATATTAATTCCATCTTGTTCCTATTTTAAGACTAAAGCTAACAGTGGAAGTTTAATATGTATCATACAGTATACTACTATAGCTCTATAGAACATATTTAAAGTTTAAGGTACAATAATAAATGCTCTATTCATTAAAAGAAGATTCCATCATTCAAAAGAAGCGCTCTGCTGTGTCAGCCCAATGGCCTATCGAGACCAATTAACTACAGAATTCACTATCAACTGGAAGAGCCTGTTTGGAACACTTTTTAAAAAGTTATTAACTTCCAATAGTTTTCCTTTCAAACAAATGATATAAATAATGTATCAGCTTAGACAGGAATAGGTTCAGTTAGTTAGAAAGTGTTAGTTATCTTTAGTAAAGAAGCCTCTCCTGGTTAGTCTGTACTAATCACACTATCATTTGAGATAGCACCTGAATAATTTCCAAATTATTTCTGTTTAAAAATTTCATAGATGAATTTTCTCACAATTCGAGATCTTGTCGGCTTCCTGTTGTGCTGAAACAAAAATGCCCAAGTTGATATTCAGCTTGCCTTGTAGGAGGAGTGCTTGGGCTACAGGGAGTGGGAAGAAAGTGTGTTATATTCAGAACTCTATATTAAGAGGAGTTATGAAGAGGAGTGCAGTCAGCCAAGATAGGCTTAAGTGATTTAACAATTCTCTGCTGTTGAAGGGGGCTAATCTGCTCCCTTTTGCTCAGTCACAGGCCTCTCTCTCTCTCTCTCTCTCTCTCTCTCGCACTGCTTTGGTACTCATCTAATTCCTTGCTCAACTGACTCATCATGCCAATCTGGAGAAATATTAGCCAGGATGGTTTTCTGTCATATTATCAGTTGAATTGGTTCACTAAGGGACTAGATGAGCACCAAATTCAGCCCAAGAAAGATAGTAGAGCGCAGCCTGCTACTTTTTGGCATCAACAAACTCTCAGATCAGTTTAGCCATCTTGTTCAGCTGAACCACAAGTCATTACTTGTAATTCTTTATTTTCATGTGCCAAAAAAGTTTATTGTTAATTTTAATGTATTGTGTATTGCACAAGTTTACAGCTTCCAAAAAGTAAATGTGCTCAAGATTTTAGTCAGAAGTCTTTAAAATTCCAGTTAAATATATTGATAAAATAAAACCTGAAAGCAAAATTTGTGGCTCTGCTCCCTACTTTTTCCAGTACAGTAATAAACATACTTTCATATGCAGCCAGTTGACTACAGTGTTGGTTATCAACTCCGCATATCATTGTATACTATGCAAAATCTTCTAGTTATAAGAAGTTCAATTGTCCCATCTATTTAAATTCTAATTTTTTGTAAAACATTTTAATAAATTGAACGACGCACACACTTAAGTACAACACTTAAGGCGGCATCTAATTGAGAGGTTTCTATGTATATACATGTATTAGTAATTTTATTATATTTTTTAGGTAATAATCTTTCCATGCATATTCTTGCACCTCTGATAGATGTAACTTATTAATATCCATTTCTTCAAAGACATTGTTTAATTGCTGAACTCAATGCTAAAAGACATTTAACAGCTGTTTGCAGAAAAGTCTTCAAAATTATCTCTTACAAACTGTATTGACCACTGGAATCATAGCAAAGAACAGCAACAAGCCTATAGTTACATGCAAAGGCCATCCTCAGAATACCTATAGCAAGCCCTACATTTCATGATACCGGGAAGAACAGCTATAATTAGTAGTTCTCTCTTATATACTTCATTACACGATATGCAGATCTCAAAGCAGCTAGAACAAACTTAACATGAATTGCTAGATGTACATTTTGAGAAACAGAGTTGAACTAACTTCTTTGAGATCACACAGAAGACTCCTTAATAGTGGAGGGGAAAAAAAAAAAATCCAGACCCAACCATCAGAGACAATGACTCAGGTTTTATTTAAAACTTTCTAAACGATTTAATAACAAATAACATCAACTTGTTACAGTCTTAAGATCTAATGCCCCACAGAGACAGTTACAGTCTTGATCTAAATACCCTTGTGAGGTCTGCAGTCAGCCTCAAGGTAAATACATACCGTTACTTCTAAGAGGCATCAGATGTCTGTTGAAAAAGGTTTTAACACAGATTTCCACTCCCACCCACCAGTGAAATATACAGATTGACTAAAACAATCTTCAATGTCACTGTGCTTGATGTAACAAAGCAGAATTTTCTTCACCATGAATTAGGCAATCTTCATTTAGTAAAAATAAATTGTTATAGTAAACATACGGATAAAGCAGTATGAGCACTGGTTACAAAGAAAGCACGGTTCAACAGCTGAAAGCCAATAAATACTTCCTGGCTTCAGAAATACCATCTGAGAGGGACATCATGTCAGTTACTCAGTTGTCAAAAATATAATTCAGGAAGGAAAAATAAAATTGTAATATTAAAATCAGTTTTTTAATGCCTTATAAACACAGCTTTTTGTCCAACCAAGTGTCAGAGGCATGTCCAAGGCACCTCCATCAGTCAAATTACCTCACTCTTTCAGTTTACCTACACTAGCCTGGTCACCTGAGTCAGCGACACAATCACTTAAAAAACCCCCAGTCATTAGGCAACTCCAGAGCTACCCTAAACAGTAGTAAAATTCTAGAAACTGATGGAACTTACAGCTACACACAAGGTCTGTAATATATTCCAAAATTTCTGTTTATTCATAAGTAAAAAGATCACTTAGGAGTAAAATAATATAAAGGTTTTAAATCAAAACTTAAAAAGCCCCACGCCCTGTAACAAACAGGGTCTTCGTTTAAAAGTAACAAAGATATTCAGAAATAAAACAATAAATCCCCTCAAAGTGCAAAAGAATAATTATTTCTATTTCATTCAAGTAAAGCACCAAGAATGTTAAATGAAGTCACTCATCTGAACAACAGAAACCCAGAAGCTTAGTCTTACTGGCAGATAAGCAAGAACTGTTTTGGGTCCCATGCAAAGCAACATAGCTTTTCTGGCTTCGGCAAATCCTTGCATAAGACCTGGTCCTTATGTTTACTGACAGCACAGAAGCCATAAGCAGTGAGCATCAGGTGGAGAAAAAGGCAAAAGGCATCTTATGGGACCTGGAGAATTATCCTAACTACTCCCCAAACCCATTGATAAAGAACATTTGCTGAAACAGAAAAGATCACTACCCTCAGGTTACAGTGAATTAACTATTTTCTTTTCAGAGTCTTTTTCTACACATGCAAACCACAAACATGTAGCTACAATGAGAAAAGCTGATAGAACATCATGATCAGGTAAGAAGCTATCTTCAAAAAAAACATAAAAGGATTTGGTCAAAGTCCCCAGACTTTTCAAAGTAAAAAAGTGCAATACCCCCACATTGTGTAAAAGCAAAAAATAATCAAGCACTCACTTTTTTATTTCTCGGAGGAGCATCCGAATAAGAATGGCCTGCAGTGGCTCAATCATTAATTTTCTCCACATATCAAGAGCTAGCTGTCAGGACACAACACAAGTTTACATCAATAAAAAAAATACAAAAAAAACCCCAGAACAAAACCGAAGATGATGCAATTCCCCATTCAGGATTTTAAAAATTAAATTGTTAGACACCTTCTTCAATTCTCCTTTTTAAATTCTTTTGTTTGCCTCACACACCCACACAATTTGTCAATATATTAATATATCATTTTATCATTTTTCTTCTAGAACATCTGACTGCATTTGGATGAAGATCGCAGATCCGTACACTAGCAACATCAGACATAGAATTTCTAGTCAGGCAGTGTGTGAATGCATGCTTCCCAGTCTGCACGCTTCCTACACACCTAATAGGACTGATTGATTCCTTGGTTCCACTCTATCAAGGATTCTCAAATACATATAAGAACCCTAAGCAAGTTGGTTATGAGGGCAAGTTTTGACTGTACATATAAACAAAACATTTGCACAGTAATAGGTAAGTAACATACCTTTCTACCTGAAGTGTTTGAATGTGTGCAGACACCGGTATTTCTAAAAATGATAGCAAAATAAGCCTCAGCTGACAAAAGGGAATGTCTCTTGGACAGTTTGTCAGAGGTCAGAGTCAAAGATACAGAACCCTTATATCCAACACACAGAGAGCACTTCCAAACTAAGATGCATACAGCTTAAGCAAAGTCACTGGCAAGCTAATATTTGACTTAAATGGAATTCAAATCACCTTCATATTAGGGATAAGTCACCCTATTCATAATATATCATTAGAGGGATCAGTCAAATGGACTGAAATATCTCAAACTCTTGTGGATAAAGTAATTGCTTCCAAATCATACCATTTTTAAAAACACAACTGCAATTGCTGAAAGGAGTTTTTACACGTAAGTCAAAACCAGATTTAAAGCCCAAAGGGGATAATGTGATCCCTCATATGAGGGCAATCCCACACACATTTAAGACCTCTATCCTGCAATGCAGTCTCTGAAATGCAGTCTCTAACATGGTCCCTCTCACACATGATCTACCAATCTGAAATGGCTCCAAGTTGCCTGTTGGAATTTTCTTGTCAAGTGAACTACAGACACATCAATCCAGCAACTTGATGTATTAGTTCCAGAGACTTTTTTCTCCTTGAGGAGAGGGACTGATCTTACTTCTTCACCCAGATTGACAATACAGAACATGGCAGTTTCATCCATTTTCCAGAATCTGTTGCCCCATGATGGAGGAAAAAAAACAGAAGGCACATCTTTACTACCTTCTTGCTCAAGGCTCCCATAGAGTCATTGAAAACTCAGAAGTCTGAAATTGGTGATAGGAGCTCAATTCAGAAAAGCCGTATCCTTCCCATCCATTCATAACATACAGTCAGAAAAAAAAAATCTCTTGCAAGCACTTGCAGACTACTTTCATCAACTGATCTCATCCTGTATTTTTCCTAGTACAACAATTATTGAATGTCTGGAACGCTTTTTGGGATGATAAACTGTTTGAAGCTATGCCCATACACATCACATACGCATCTCCGGTCTCTTGTATGTACCTACTGTTACAAACCCCAGAAGAATTAAGCAAGCATGTACTCATTTAAGATCACTGAAAAGCTCCCAAAGTTTCATTAGCACACAGGAGTGATGCTGAGACAGAAACTTCAGCACATAGAGAGTACAGTTCTGCTTCTACAAATTCTAAATACTGGGCATTATTTCTGTAACTTCATGCTGAGACAGAAGAGAACTATATATAAAATAAGTGTGTTTGCTCTTGGGTGGATAAAAGACAGATCATCTCAGTCATCCAAAAGGGATAAATGATAATTCCTTCCATTCTAAAGTGATTAACAACTGAGATAAAGACTTTTGTCAAAGCCCCTACTGCAATCCAAAACATAAAAGACAGAATCCTAAACAGGAACTTTAACAAAAAAGAAAATGCTTTCAAAACAAAGACTTGATAAATTTGGTGAATGCCTTGCAGGTCAAGAAATGTGAACTAATTTTATTTCTGGGGCAACAAATTCACCAAAAAACAATTTAATGCACTTAAACTACTTGACTGTAGGGCGCAAGTCTCCACTCCTTTTCAGGGCAAAGGAGTAACTGCCATAAACCTAATCCCACACCAGTAATGAACAGAGATTAACTTTACTGCCTTGAGATCCAAAATTTACCTCCCACTACTACAGACTACAAAGACATTATTTGGTAAAGAGAAATAGAAGGAGTCTTGGGGATTGAGATAATCAAAAACTCATTAGTAGAATTCCAGACATCATCATCCAGAACACCTTTGTCAAAAACTAAAGGCTGCCAGCTACAGTTTAAGAATCTTGACCCTCCCCATAACCTGCCCAAATAATGAGCTAGGGATGTACCATCCTACGAAAAACTGCCGGGAAGTTTGAAGAAAAGTGTGCATCATTGTCCTTCCACTTCATCCATGATTCCATAAACAGAAGGAAAACTGAGTACTCAAAAAAAGCTGAATTATCAGGTCTGCTGTTTGTTTTTCTTTGGTAAACATATACTAGGGCAGAAAGCTATGGACAAAAATTGCCCCTACCATCCTTTGGATGATACCTCAGAATGGAATAGCACACTGAAACAGCGGGAGAATTCATTAATATATCAGCATCACCTAGCCCCAGAAAAAAGCCCAGAACTATTCCCAGCCACCAAAGCAGCTGAACTAAGAGTCATTCGCACAGAGCAAAGGATTACCTCCAGCAATCGTGGGAACATACTTGGCTAAATCTCAGCCTGAGGAAATAAGGAATAATGTTTACACCATTTTGAAGACACCACAAACAGTGCAGCAATATGCACTTCCAAGCTCTGATAAGCCTTTACAGATGCCACTGATTAGCAAGCCTTGCAGACAGCACAGCACAAGAGAAGAATTTCCTTTTCTGAACTGCCTTGACTTAAAATATATCATGTTTCTGGTGTTTTTTTCAGCCCACCCCCAACCTGTCAGATGATAAGCAATTTCAACTGGCAGTGTTGTCTTCATCAGCTGGGTGGCTGGGTCAGAAGCACAGAAGATGTTTCTTCCTGCATCACAATCTCTCTTTACTCTTAACTAAAGGCAGCAGAGATCGCCTACTTAAAACAATGAAATCCAGAGCTAGAACAGTAACCACTGACAGGTCAAGTTCTGATGTTAAGAATTAAAAAAAAAAAAAAAAAAAAAAAAAAGTATTTTCTGTAGCTTTCCAAACCAAAAAAGAACTGTTTGCTTCCCTTTTAGAGAAAAAGGCAAATGTAGAGAGGAAAGAAAAAAATACACCACTACATACGATCACAGAATAAAATTAATTCTCCAGTTAGCAGTGTGTATACATACGGACACAAAGCAAACAGATACACAGACAAGCATTCAAATGAAAAGTTTCTATTCAACTGTATTCAGCATTGTGTTTTTGTTCCGATTCAGACTGAAAAGGTGTTTTCAAAATCTTCTTAAAGACATACTGAAACACTTTGTTTTGAAAAATCTGAAAGAATTTTTCTTTTTTTACTGTAAAATTGTCTTTCATTTTCTTATATTTCATGGTAACAGTAGCCATGAAGTGACAGAAACAATGCATACTTCACTTCTGCATAGCTGAATGGTAATTGGTGGTTTCTCAGAACACAGTCCTACTGCTGACAATTTTTTTTCTTTTTTTTTTCATTTTATTTTTCATTTCATAGGTATTTAAAAATTAGTTTCAGCCTCTCCAATTTACATTAGTAACTCTGTTAACACCTTTGTGTTTGCTCTAAATTACTTTTTTTTTTAAAGATAAGCCCTCCCTACATGATACTTTTGTACACAGAATGTCTACTTTTTTCCAAAATCTCTGAGTTGCTACAATAGAAGCACAAAACAGCTTGCATTAGAAAATAAGATGTACAGTATCGCAGAAGACTAATCTGAAAAAAAGCTGTTACACTTTGTGACATCAAGAAATAGAAGCCTAGAAGTAGTACTTCAAGGGTTCAAAAACCAAAAGTACTGCTTCTTCAAATATTTTCTAGATAGTAGTGTCACTTAATAAACCAAAGTTTTTTTTGCAAGGTGGCATCTGTTATCACATTTTAAGCTGAAGTTCTCCAATAGTTTCCATATTTGCTGATTTTTTTCCCTAGGTCACTATATTTTTCTGCATCAAAACTGTAATCTCATTTACAAAGGGTTCAGTGCTTACATCTTCTACCATATTTAACTATTCAGATTCTGTGACACAGAAAAGTCAAAATTTAGAAGGACAAAGCTGAACTTGTAGCGCTTCTGAATATAGTTTATATCCACTCCCACTTTCAGAGATACCTACCTCTCCTATTTCCATCAATGGTTCATTCATATCCACCCCTCCATAACCATACTGAAGATCAGCTTCAGTCAATTTGTTCTTCTTAATAAACTGTGTGTTGAGGTACCTATAGAAATAAAGATATTCTAATCAAAACAGGCAAAAGTTAGGCTATTTTTTTTTAAATAAATTTGGAATTGTGGAATGTCTTCCACATCACAAAAGATAACCTCTTTTAATCAATGCCATTGCTATCTGTAATAAATTATTAAAATACAAATGACTTCAATTTAAAAGATCTTACATCATATTAAAACAGTATAGTGTTATTAATTGAGATATCAAACAGTAGCCTGATATATCACTGTCAGCATTTTCTTGGTGTGCAATATACTTGTGTAAGAATCCAACCTTTCAACATACACTGCCATGTGTATGCAAAATAACTTTTACATGTATATGCAAAATAACTGCTAAATTCTGAGCAGTTGACTAGTATTGAGTGATAATAATTTATTTATTTTTAATGATAGAAAAATGTTCCTGAGTATCAGATATTTTTAAGTAAAATGTATTTTCTTCTACCTGTACTGTTTATTATTTTGCATTTCTCTCAGACTAAACCACAAAAATAGCGTCAGTTTTTTACAGGGCCAATTTTTGTCAGTTATGATCCCTTACTCAGGCCATGGTAACTAGCAAACAGCTGCATTGCAAATTTTAAAGATAAGAGAAGAATTTGCAGAAATCATTTTAATTAACTGTTGTAAACAAGAAATGTTATAAATGCTTTTTTTAAAAAAAATTTAGTATGTAGTATTTACTATTGTATGCATAGTTTTTATAAAAAACAGAAAGTGGTTTCTGTGCAAGACCTGACAAAATGGCCCTCAATTCTCAGTATTCTCCTTCTCTTTCACAGATAACTGGAAAAAATGTCTAATACCTTTCATAACTACACTTATAATTGTTATCTAAGTGTTTACATGAGGTAACTGAGATTTTTTTATTTTAAATTCCGATCCAACTAGCAGTTTTGAGACGCCCACTTTCAGACACTGAAGAGAGCCAGATTACTGAAGCGCTTTAAGAGATTCAGGTTTCAGAGGCTGCACCAGACTAGCGATGTCTGAACACTTTGGGCAGGAAGGCAAATGACAAGCAAAGAAGAAAAGGAGAAACACACTATGGAAACCTGTGAACTTGAAAGAATTTAGGACACCACAGAGTCCAAAGGAGGAAGACTTGTGATAGTGCAGTGGTGACAAACTGAATACAGTGGCCTAACCTACTTTCAGACTCCAAAGTCTTACAACTATAAACCGCTCTGCTACCATCAATAACCATCATAAATTGTAAATGCAAGTCTGTGTAGAAGGCTACAGGCCTACCATTTCATATAGAACTTATGTGGACATCCAGAATAGTTGGAACACAAGCCTTAAGCAGGCATGCTTCCTAATGATATTTCCCACCACC